TGCGTGACGGGGTGGGCGGGGCCGCGCGCGCTATGGCGGCGGCCGCCATCTTGCGGCGGAACCGTGAGGGTACTTGGGTGGTGCGGCAGCTGTCGCGCAGAATGTCATTATGGGGGCCGCAGGGAGAGCCCGGGGAGCAGGAGCATTCGTCCCCGAGGTGGCGGACCTCGTCTCCGAGGGGGTTTCGTGGTCGAGAGGACTCCCGGGCTGGCTTAAGTCCTCAGCTAAAAACACTTCTGCAAACATTCTGTTTCCTTCCGCCTCTGCAGCAGCAGCACCAACCCAGCCTTCCCCAAACCTGCTCAGGGTGGCTGCTGCCAGCTCACTGCTCTGGGCTGCGAACACTATGTACTTCACTTTCTCACCAAGAATCTCCCCCTTAAATTATGGCTCAGTGAAGATCGAACCCAGACTGAAAGCTTTAGCTCTTCATAAAGATTTTATTTTCCTTTCCCTCAGGACAGTCTGACAAAACAGGTGGCAGAACTGTTTAGCTGGACTGTGGTTTCAGTTTCAGACGCTCCATTTTCTCACATGGAACACACTGGTGAGGGCGTTGGACTTCAAAATGTTACAGGAATAAACGGGAGAACGGGTGTGTGTGACCGACTGGGGAGTGCTCAGGAGTTTGGGTATTGTCTCAGGAGAGAACTGCTCGAGGGGATTTAGGCATTGATCCCTCGAGTAGCATGTTCTGTGCTGTTGAGGGAGCCTGTCCTTGAGAAGAGGGCATCTTGGGAAGAATTCAGAAAATCTGTCTTGAACGGATGCACCAAGGAAATCCCTTTACCTTATGTGAAGAAAAGGCAGGGGTGCTGTGACTGCCTGTGCCAGGAGCGTTCTGGCAGCACCACGGGCAGGGGGGCTCTGCCAGCCTGGCACTGCTGCTGCAACCAGGGCAACGTGATAAAAGCCTTTATCTTCCTGACAGCAGGGCAACTCCATTCAGTTAACACTGAAAGGACCATTTTCTCGTTCCAGTAAGAGTTGAGTGTTGTTACTTCAGTTTTTCTCAGAGGGCAGGGCCCCTTCGGGCTCTAACACACCCTATTATGGCAAGGCTGGGTGTGTTTTTAAAATGAGTCAGCTATTCTGAGATAACGCTTGTGTGGCTGACCTCACTCTGCTAATGAATTACTGACTGCTCATAGAAAGTGCGGTAAACAATTAAAAGGTTTAATTCAGACCTTTCTGATTCAGTGCAAGAAAATTACATTGTGGCAGTTTCACTGTAGACAGAGGTGTCTGTGTTCTCCTGTCTCCTCAAGCACTTTCCTTTCAGCCATTGACTTCTGCCCTGATCTCCAGCTCAGCCCAATGGGTGTGAAAGTGCCACTGACAGCAGCAAAGCCCCCTCAAGGGCTCCCCTCCACAGGACCGGAGGCATGAGTTCCCAGCCTGTCTTATGATGGCAATGATCAAACACAGTGACTGAAAGCTGCCGAGGAGAAAGGAAATTTAAATAGCTGAAAGAAGCTTGTACAGAGTAAGAGAGGTCTCAGACTCAGGCTGATGGCACTTCCATTGAGTTAGAACTTCTGAACACCACATCTCATCAAACAGGATTTCAGCAGATAGCCCAGGGTTTAGTGGGCAGAACACTAGCAAATCTGAGAGAGGGAGAAAGGGCCAGGAATTAGAATTTTTCTTGGAATTAGTTAACACTTCTGACTGCTCCAAATATTTGAATTTGTTTAAGGATTTAAGAAGTTGGCAGCAACTATCAGCAGCTAAAGGGGGGAAGAAATAAATCACTAGGAAGGGGGACAAGTAGGGGACAAACACTTTCTAGGAAGGAGAGAATATATGAAACTTTGATGTGCAGAAGAATGGATAAGCAGGAACACTAACAGAGGGATTAATTGTTTGCAATTAAAGTGTTGTGTAGGAGTATATATGTGACAGACGGGAGATGTTGAAAGGACAACATCCTCAAGCCACAGAAGCAACCAATTGTGATAAAGTAGTATTTATTTTAAGGTTTCCCTCTGAGTCAGTCTGTTTCTCTCTGGAATTACAGAAAATACAGAAATAGAACTGGGCTGGTTTATAATCCCTGAGGAATTGCCTGGGATTCTTCATGCCTCCTCTCAGCACAGAGCTGCTGCCTGTGGTGAAATGTTCACCTCATCACAACACCAGCCAAGGTTTGTGTGTGAGATCCTGTGTGGGGACCATGCTCCACTGTCCCTGTCACTGCCGGAGAGCTCCAGCTGCTCCAGGAAGTGCTGAAACCAGACCGGGAATAACAAGGGATTACACTCGTTTTCCTGCTGGCATGGCTCATTTTTGTCCTGGAATCATGTCACTGTACTGCTTCTGGCACGGCTGGAGCTGTTTTGGAGCTGTTGCTTTGTTTTCCTGCTAGCACAGCCCCAGCAGTCAGAAGGTAAATAAATCTCTTGGCCATAGGCACAGAATAAGCACAGTGCAAGGTGCTCTTCTGACCAGCAGGCATGGCAAGAGACCTTTTTAGGCAGGATGGAACTCCAGCAGGTGTTTGGTTCTGCTCCCTGTAGCTGTGAGCCAGAGGTTGGTTAGGAACAGAGGAGGTCCCACTCAAACGGCTCAAGTTTGGTGAGTCAGGAAAGAGGAAGTGCCACAGCTTACGTTGAGAAAGATTTTTCAGTGCCCTGAGTTTCTGCAGCTCATGATCCCCTGTACTGTCCACCTATTTCAACATCCTGCATTAATGAGGGAAGTAGAACAACTGAAAAAATAATTCTCTACACCATGCATCATGCATCTGCTGCAAAGCTTAAATAGCTGCTGAAAACATCCTGTTTTTTTCTATTAAACTGTTCTGGGATTTAAGAAAATAGCCCGGTGAGGATTGTGCAATCTGAGTTCAAAGCTCGATGACTCAGAGGTAGCGGCAAGCAGGGTGGTGCTGGTTGGAGAATTTACCCAGTCTCTCCTCAGCCTTGAGGGATCCTTGGACATAGGTGCAATAACAGAGCAACTATGAATTTGTGAAAAACTACAAATAAGAAAAAAAAACCACCAAACCCTCTAATCCTGAGTGTTTTTATTATGAAAATGGTGCACTAATGCTTGAAAGCATTATGCCTTCCCTTGGAGAGACCAAGTTTCTAGTCTGGGTAAGGACTCCTCAGTCCCACACCAAGTTTATGCTCAGTGCTACAAGGCCTTGTGAGGAGTGGCTTGTAATGAAAATGTGCTCACAGAGCAATTTCAGGAGTGAAAGTTTTCCTGTTGAGCTACTGGGCAGAAGGATGGAAGGTGAAATTTGTTACAGGCTCATGATTTACCACCCGAAACCAATCACAATTCCAGCCACTTAGCAGCAGCCAGTAAAACCAGGATTGCTGAGCAGGGCCGAATGTCAGAATTATTACTAAATCAGAGAATCATTAAGATTGGGAAAGACCTCTAAGATCACTGAGTACTTGTAGCAACTTCCCATTAAGTACTTCTCAGCTCCATGGTTGGCAGGAGTCAAAAAAACTATTAGGGAAGAAGTAAAAAGAAAATATTTCCTGGTACATGTGTACTTGGGAGTGTCATATACAATTCCTGTGCCCAAAGGGAAACAAGGACACTTAGGCAAGGCACAGTTTCCGTGTGCCAAATGGTTGAATGGGGTGGTATTGCACTGGGAACGTGAACAAACTGGTTTGTCACATGATTCCCTGCATCGAGAGGTGCTGGGGAAGCATAAAGGTGTTTCAGGTCTCATAGAGGACTGCAAAGCATGTGAGGATCTGTGTTGGGCCACCACTGATGTGAAACGGGTAGAGCCAGTGAGGGGGCAGTGGCTCTGGAGCAAGGGGAGGAACAGTGGTTGCTGCTCGTGGTTGAGGTCCCTCCGGGCTGCAGGATCGCTCATCTCCCTGCCCCAGTAGTTATTAGCCAGTTATGGCCTGTTGCTGGTAGCCACACTGAGAACTCATCAGCCTGTGTAAAATCACCCCCTGGCCAAGTGCCAGCGTGTTCCCTCTGCAGGAAGCCTTAAGGAAGGTCCAGTGAGCAGTGGGGCAAGGTCTGTCTGTTCCCTGACTCCCTCCCGTTCTGCCAGGCTTGTTACCCGTGGGGCAGGACATGGTACTGATTGACAGCTTGCAGAACTCACAGTTTACTCCAGCCTGACTGCAGAGCCCTGCTCGAGTACCCCAAGTCTGCCCCTGTGCGCACCCACATGGGCTGGTGAACAGGTAACAGAGCCATCACGTTCTGCCCAACTCACCAGATTTATCAAGCCACAGCCTTAAAGAAAGTACACATTTTTTTTTATTCAGAGAATCACAATAAACTACTGAGACTCACAGCTGCTTGCTCTGGCATAGCTTCCCAAACATTCCTGTGCAGCTTTTGAAAACATCAAGCACACTTCAAGGATTTAGAACATGCACCATCATAAGCAAAACCTGCACGAGACATTGGGATTTCTGCCTGAGCTCCCTGCAAGAAAAATAGGCAGGCGCGCAACAAGGGGAAAGGGAAGAGAACATTCTAGGCAACCTTCTGCAGAAGCAACTCAATATCATCCTGGATCTTGATGGTTTCGAAACTCCGGCTGTAGCGTTTGAAGGGCACGCCGTCGGGGCCAATAAGGAACTTCTCGAAGTTCCAGGCGATGTCGTTGCGGCGGACCGGGGACCAGATGATGTACTGCGGGTTGGTCATCAGCGAGGAGGGGTCGTCGTGCGGGAAGGGCAGCGCCTCTTTCAGGAAAGTGAAGAGGGGGTGCTCGTCCTTCCCGTTCACCTCGCACTTCTCGAACATGATGAAATTTGGCTTGAACCCGTTGCCAGGACGAACGTACTCGAGCATGGGAAGAATCTCATCGTTGGTGCAGTTTTCCTAGGGAAACAAAGGTAAACCCGCCCCGAGCACGGCCCGTGAGAGACCGGCCGCGACGGACGGCTCCTTCCCGCTCCCCG